TAACACCTGATGAAAATCTGCAGAAAAAGAGCACAAGTCTTATGGAAGTGTATGTGACAAGTTTTTCGCTTAGACGGTTTGGACTGGGGAGAGTTTGGGGAAATGCTGTTTTTCAGTGTTGAGTTCAGGGAAAGGAGGCTGCAGTTGCTGTGGTGAGCTGTTAAGCTGCACCCATTCGGGTCTGAGCCAGAGACATCCTTTTAGAAGGGCATTTTTGTTTATTCACCGTTCTAAGAACTCATACAAAATTAGGTTTTATAAATGCAAATGTCATATGATTCTAAATTTGGAGCATTAAGCTTTTGATGGATTGGAGTATATGAATTTTTATAAGAAGTTCTTAATGAAGAAAGAACTAGAAATTAAAGGAGGCCTCTATATTAATTCTCTTAATTTTCTAAGCTTAATGGAGTGCAAAAAAACATCGAAGTGATGAGAGTTAAGAAAGACTCTGTGTGCCCATCATATATCATACCTCACCTGCCCCAGGATCTGTGAGGAGCAGTCAGTGGCCGTGGCAGGACCCTCATGCAGCTCCTCAGCCCCGTGTTCAGGAGGGCAGTGCCACAGAGTCTTGGCTGAGCTCAGCCTTCTCTCACCCCTCGCTGGGGAAATGCCCCAGGACCTGCCAACGTCTGGTGAGGTCTAAAGCTGAGCAGTGTACAGTCTGACAGGGCCTCAGGCCTGGTGTCTACTGGTTTTCCAGGAAAAGTGGAAGCAATGAAACATTCCTGGTTCTTCCTGTGCCTTTGCCCTGGCATTAAAGACACGTGAGCTTCGTGAGGGAGAGGGCACAGCATGTAAGCCACGGCAAGCTGTGCCTGCTGCCCAGCCTGGCAGTGAGAGCCTGCAGGGAGTGCCTGTGGTCAGACATTCCCCATGTGATGTGCCGCTCCGGTTAGGCCAAGGAGAGAAGGATAAATAGTCTCTGAGGACATTTATTATCCATTTGTCTTTGCTTTGGACTTCGTTTGGCACCCACTCTGATTGTTAGAGCTTTGCTCAGATAGAGCTCTGCTTCCTTGTGCCCCTTTGTATTTGTTTGCTCTTTCTGATTGCATTTATGGGCAGTTAGCTCAAGAGGATGTTCTGGGTGAGTGACGTGGTTTGATGGGGACAAACACCAAGTGTTTGGGTGTCGTGACGAGTAGAAATGCTGGAAGGATAAATACTTCTTTGAATTGGAATTTTGGGGTTTTTTTTCTGGACTGAAATGGAAGAACTGGATGCGTTTGTGAATCGCCTAATGGAAACATCATATGTGGTTGGCACCACTGAAGTAACGTTATTGATTTGTGCAGTGAAATTGTCCTTGCAGAACAAGATCTAAGTAATGAGGTTTAAGATTTATAGGAACTTGGTCAGCTAGCTTAGAAGGCTGAAACTGCAGCCAACCCTCACTCTTTGTGTCAATGTTTTTAGACAAAAGGTCAAAAACAGCATTCCCAGCCTGCAGTGAGGCTAGAGCTGACTGAGCCACTGCTGAGCCTTCGCTGGAGCAGTGGCTGTGCGTCCCCGTGGCTCATGGGCAGCCACCACTCTCGGGCTCCAGCGTGAATTGCCACGTTCAGTAGATGCTGATTTTTGTGTAGGTCTCGGTGCCTTATTTCCTAGCAAATATTCCTCTTCCTCAGAGGGTTTGTTCTGCACGGAACAGTTGTATGTCTGCTCCTGCTGGAGAAGGGGCACAGTGAGAGCTCAGGCAGCCAGTCCAGCCCTTGTGAGATGTGGCATGGAAGGTGTCCAGCCCTTTTCACCAAGTGTGGAATGAATTACCATCCTGACATGGATACTTGATTGCACAGTCGCTTTTGAACATGAAATAGCTCTCAGCATTTCTTTGAAGTTCTTGTTTCTAGTTTTTGTTTTTAAGTTTGGGAAACATCCATACTGAGAATGTTTTCACGTGAGGAAACATTTGGAGGCTTGGTGAAAATGTGTCAGGTGTTTGGGGTTTGTTGTTGTCATTTAAAAACATATCTTTATTTTTGCTGGCTCGGTGGAAGCATCTCGACACTTGGGAGGAAAGCTGCCTTTGAACTAGTGCTGGCAGAGCTCTGGTGAAACTGGGAGAGAATGTGCTTAGTCACACCTCTTAATTTCCATAGGGACCTACCAGAGTCATCAACTCAGTTGTGTAATTGCTTAGTGAACACCCTCAGTCTCCAGGCACGGGAAGGAAAGGGAGAGTTCTGTCACACCAAAGCAGTAGAATATGTCCTGTTCGTTTGGAGTGCAGGAGGATGGAGTTTTTATACCAGCCTTGACCTTAGCTCAGGCCTTGGGGGAGCAAGGTGTGCATGGAGCTCCATGGGAAGGATTGGGACTCACTGGGACTGCAGTGCATCCTGCCTTTCTTGCTGACCACAGAACACGTCCTAAGATAGAGAAAGGAAACTTCCTCACACTTGTGAAATACAAATCTAGTTGCCTGTGCTATGAATTGCAAATCAGAGCGTGAAGAGTGACTCCTCCCCAGTTCGGGGAGGGAGCAGAGCAGGCCCCGCGCAGGTCTGGTGAGCTCTAGGGCTCTGCTGAGTTTATTTATTTACCCTCGTTTAATGTTGGGTGATCTGGGGCAATGTCCAAACACCGGGAAATGACAAATAACCCTTGGGGCATGCAGCACCATTCCTTGCTTTGGTGGAAATGTTTGGTCTGTGCTTGTGCAATGCTTAATTATCCCTTCACAGGATCGTGCAGCGCTGAAATTTGCACTGACTTGTGAGTATTTGCTCAGGTTTTGTAAGGTTCGGAGACAAGAGACGCCCTGAGCACACTGATGTGGTGCTGCAGCTCGCTGCTTTCTCTGGGGGAGGCGTGGGAGTGCTGAGCTGTGGAGCAGCACTGAGCCCACCGAGCAGCAGCTTTGTGTAGGATTTAGTACAAACAGGCTGAGTTACAGTGCGAATTTGTGCAGATTGTGACGAGCACCAAATATTACCCTATACCCGTGAATATCGCTCGTACTGCTTCAACTGAACTTTTGCAAGGCAGATTAGGATTTCAGAAGTTGGGGTTTTCTTCTATGCATATAGATGTTTATTAAAAACCTTTGTGGCTTAAGATTTAAATAATGTTGTTTTTGTCTTTTCATAGGTGAATGTCTATGTGCTGGGAAAGACTTTCCTTCTGCTGGCCAGAGAACTCTGCATAAATGCTCCAGCTATAGGTACTTTTTACAAATCAGTTGACTTTTGACTGTGTGAGTATATTTTGTGCATGGTCACTTGACCAGGATATGGATGTGTGTGTGTATATAGTGGTGTGTGCTCAGTACCCACGTAGTAACTTACAAGTGCACCTGGAGTCAATCCAGGTAGAAGAGCAGTGCTGACTGCAAGAGCCTGTGCTCCTTTATGTAAGAGCTTTTGGGGAACTAGGTGCTGTTTCCTTTTGCAAGTGATTTTGCTGCTTCTTCCAAGAGCAGCTTAGGCCACACTGAGGCAAGGGGCTGAGGAGTAACCAGTTGCGTGTGCCTGCAGGCTCACACAGGCCTGGCACACTGCGCAAAGATCTGCCAGATTTGCTGTCTGTGCATCACCTGCAGTGAGGTGTTCAGTGCTTGGAATACAAGGGGCTTGGCGGAAACCAAGGAGCAACTTTTTCCATGTCAATAGCTTTTAAGTCAGCACTGAAATCATAACTGTGGTGGGAAGGTGGGTTTAGCCTGTCAGAAGGGTAAAAAAGCTACTGCCTAGGCTGCAGCTCTTAAGCCAGGGGAGTTTGTGCCAATTCCAGGTCGAAGAGGCCTTGTGACCATCCCCCAGCTCTGGGCAGGAGTTGTGCCCCTCTGTCCGCTCTCACTCCCGTGCCCTGTCCATGTCTGTGCTGGAGGTGCCCGTGCTGAGGAGCAGCAGGTGCAGGCTGTGCTGCACTGGGGGCACAGACTGCCCCGCGCCGTCCCCGCTGTGCTGGGGGCACAGAGTGTGCCTCACTGGGGGCACAGACTGCCCCGTGCCGTCCCTGCCGTGCTGGGGGCACAGCATGCGCCGTCCCTGCCCCGTGCTGTCCCTGCTGCCCTGCACTATCCCCGCCACGCTGCACCGCTTGCTTCCTTCCTGCTTTGCATTACCTTTCCCTTTGAGAGACAACAGGCTGAATTTGTACTGCAGCTTAGTTTCAAGGTGAAAATTAATGCAACTTAGGGAAAAGCAAACAGAATCCCTCTCTAAATGAGATGTAGAAGTACTTGTTATACATGGAAAGATATACTGGGCTAGACTTCTGTTTGAGTATTCTGTCCAAGGCCATTGTGGGAGGGATTTATAAAAAACAGTAAGTATTTCTAATTGGCTCATCTGTAATGATTGCCAGACCCTTCAGAAAAACCACCTACTTTGATCACTCTGAGGAAAGTTAAGGGTACCAGCTCCCAAATGACTGCTGAGAGGGCATGAGACCTGCTTTTAGAAACGAGGAGGAAAGATCCAGCAGCCTTGGTTTGAGGTGGCTTATTTCTTCCTAGCAATAAAGGAGCATAAAGGACCACACAGCAGTGTGTCTGATGTCTGCTGCCGAGTACCAAGATGGGCTGTAGGCTGCCACGATTACAGCTCTGGGCTGAAGCTGTGGTGGAGCCTGTGACCGAGCTAAGCTGTGTCTCACGTCCTGACTGCCCAGCCCAGTGGGGAATGGTTTGGCAGGTGCATGTGGCAGTGCTGCTGTTGGCTGGAGGTCAGCACGGACCAACACCGGGGCAGGAGCCACTTTCAAACATAACCACAGGAAAGTCCTGAGCAACTCTGATTACTCAGCTTGGGCAACACACAAACCCCTGAGCTTCCACAACTGTCAGCTCCTTTCTCATGAAGGGAAACAGAGGCTGCCGATGGATAGTTCCAGCTACCAGGCAAGGGAACCTTCCTAGCTGCGGTGAGAGCTGCAAACGGCACGTGCAGATGCACACAGGGACCAGACTGGTGTCACTGGCCTAGCTGGCTGCACAGGAGTTAACAGACACGAGCCACAGGATCAGCAGTCATCAAGTACGCAGGATGTAGGGCAAGTAAAAACGTTTTATATTTCACAGATTCGTAAACTGCTCTAGTTTAGAACATTCTGTTTGAGTCAGTTGCAGTCTGCGAGTTAGTTATCTATATACAAAAAGATGCACAGTAAGTGCAAAATTTAACATTTTCCTGCTCGTTGCAGTCTCAATAATTAACTCAAATAGCTTATGAATAAATAAAATAAGATTAAATTCAAGAGCATTCCTTCACTTATGTGTATAGTCTGACATAGCAGATAGGTGAGTAGCGCAACATTCCAACTGCTGCAGAGTTCGGAGGCAACTGAGAATCCCTTAGTGTGCACCACGGCAGGACTGAATACAATCAGGGTGAAATGCATCATGCATAGAAAATGAGCTCGGGTATCTGTCCTCCTTGTACTCCTGTGCCATTAGTACTGTCCGAGGAGCACTGGAACTGGAACGTCACTTTCCCACACTGCACTTCAGTCATTCCCTCCTGCCCAAAGTAGCTGAGCTCGTTCCCATCCAGGATAGCACTTACATTGTAAAAGGTGTCCTGCTCGACCTGCACGGGGTGCTCAAACCACACAGAGAAGGTGTTGCTGGAGCCGTCGGAGGTGAACTTGGTGAGGTTCTGTGCCAGGACGACGCCGAGGCGCTTCAGCTCGATCCTGACGCTGTACTCCGCCTTGCCGCAGCTCGAGCCGTACAGCCCCAACCCCGCTATGAATATCCGTTTGTCCACGGCGAACTGGATGCTGTCGCAGCGCCCCCGGTCCCGCCACTGGTTGCTGCGGTACGCGGACGACTGGAAGCGGTGGCAGCGCTGAGGCACCAGCCCTTTCCTTTTGGTCAGCGGGAACTCCAGCTTGGGCTTGTTTGCCGCCGTGTACCACAGGAAGATGTTGTGCGTCTCCTCCAGGGTGAGGATGTCGGACTGGGCGGCTCCATTGGCGAACTCCTCCAGAGTCATGGTGGGAATCCGCACCAGGTACAAAGCTTTCCCCAGTACGTTCCTCTTGTTGCGCGGCGTGGCTGGCAGGCCCTTCCGTTTGCATTCGGCCTCTGCCCAGTTGAGAACGGCCTCAAAAACCACCACCTCCTTGGTGTTGAGTGCCTCCCGCGTGACGATGATCTCCAGCGTCTGCTGGTCTATCTCACAGAAGCCCTCTGACCTGAGAGCCATCTCCGCCTGGGCGTCGATGACCTCCCAGCAGCGCTGGGTCAGCTCGGGCTCCTCGAAGAGCCTGCTCTGGGACAGCAGCACACAGGCGTTCTTGGCCTCCAGGCTGGTCTCCAGGAAATTCACGCAGGCCTTGGCGAGCGCCGGCACGATGTACTTCTTGGCGGCGTACAGCGTGGCCAGCACCGTGTCGGCTTCCAGGTCTATTTCATCACTGTACATGTATCTACACGGGGAAAAACAAACAGCTTTTTAGGGGGGGAATAGGCCGTGAAAGTAAATCTATAGTCGAGTTTGCTGGCAGCGAATCTGACGTTCAGCGTGTGTCAGCACATGGAGTCAACAGCAGTAAGTGCATATTGCACAGTGCCAATTAGGAGATGTATGTTTTATAAGCTACTTTGATTCTGTCCGTGTAATTAGTAGACTTGTAGCGGCCACTTACTTTAATAGGATTAGAAAGGCTGCAGGTTCCACATCTGGTATATGGATTTCAGATTTGACCTCTGCGAGATCGCCATAAAACATAGCGTAGAAGACAGAGCTACCAACTGCCAAAACGTACTGGAAAAGAGAGAGAGAAGCCTCAGTGACTCGGAGCAGTCAGGCTGCCTCGGCGCCGCGTTCGGGGGGAGGTTAGGAGCCGCGGCGGGGGCAGAACACCGCCTCGGACCGCTCCCTGTAACTGCGGCGCGCCTGAGTTACTTCTGGGCTCAGACAAGAGCTGTAACTAGGGGGGAAAGCGGAGCCTGGTTGCGAGCAGAGGGCGATCCGCGCGGCGGCAGCGTTAAAGAGCCAAAACGATGCGCACAAACCTTATGGGCAGGAACTTTCCTGGCCGCCCCTGGCGGGCCCACGACGAAGTGAACGTCGGCCATGAGTTCGTTGTTGAACATCAGCGCGTTCCTGCGGGGGGAGGA